CAGAAAAGCATAATAATTTAATACACCAGGACATAAAAGTTTGGCCGTTATAACGAAGTGGCCGTATTAATAGGGTGGATTGTTGATGCGAGCGAAGCGAGTAGCCTTCTATTCGGAACACAGTGTYGATTCWAGGATGTCCCTAWCAGAACACGCGGTACATACGATCAGCGGTTCAAGTCCATACCGTGTCGAGAGTCGATTCAAGGATGTCCCTATCAGAACACGCCATACACACGGCAAGCGGTTGTACGAGTTTGGCTTGTGTTTGAATTGCGATATTTAAAAAAAAAAAATACTTTTTAGATGTCAAGGTCACGTTTATTTATTCGTGGAAGTATTCAACAAGGTCTCTTGAACGTTTTAATGACGTTTCAAGGGAAAGACAGTATTCTTTATTCATAGTTTCGCAATTGCAGATTGGAATTCGCGAAACAGGTAGCTTGAAAAAAACGTATACTGCCTGAAGAAATTTGCGTTACGTGACAAGTTGCATCACATCACTGCAATGCTGATGTGATCTAACATCTGTTATACGTTGTGAAAATGAGATAGCTACTCGCAGCACTCGCTTTCTATTAGAAATGACTAGTTTAAACAATAGAGAAGGATTGAGAGCATTTTGATGTGATTGTTGCCTGCGGAAACTACAGTAGATGTTCCGAAAAACAAATAGTCGCCTGTGAAGTTTTGAAAAGCTTCTAGTTTCCAAGGGCAACTATGACAGCACAAATATACGAATTTCCCAAAGTACATGTGAAATACGCCGTATAAACAAGACTTTTTTGTGAAAAAAATATCTAGTAGACACTAAACAAGTGAGATGGACAACTAATGGGTCTGTAACGCTTAATATCACTCGAATTCGATGGCCATTACTTTTAAATGTATAAGCTAAGATTTTGGAGCATTGACTTCAGCACATTTAAAATTCGACGTTTTTGAGTACATACGCCGTACAAACTTGGCTTAAGATAAAAGCTTTGTGAAAAAAAATATCTAGTAGACACTAAACAAGCGAGATGGACGACTAATGGGTCTCAAACGTTCAATATCACTCAATTCGATTGCCATGAGTATAAGCCAAGTATTGAAGCATTGACTTCAGCACATGTAAAATTCGACGTTTTAGTCAAATCTGAGTACATGCACTTCAGATTACAAACCGAAATTCCTGTCAGGCAGGTTTCAAGATTACCGCCTAATCCTAACCACCTCTTAAAACAAGAACCTCCGTCACTGCATCCTTTGATAACTTTCCACTAATGCAAGACGGCTAAAAGGGCTCTTCGTGGCAAATTTACCTAAATATTTACTTGGTAGGTGAGAGTTTTTTAAATATTTTTGAGAAAAAAGTCGCTATATAGCATTTGTTGAAAGTCTTTATAATGCTGTAAYATTTAGATGAAATATATGTTGACTTTTGCGGCGAATTACTTATCGCTAAAGCATCCGGATGCGTGAAAAAATAATCGCAAATCTCGCAAATCAAGATAAAAGTTTTAAATTAAGTACTACTAGAAAAATGATAGATGAGATTTTTATTTTGGAGATATATATAATATTTTCCACTAATTTATTGTTGACTAATAATTTATAAGATGTGACACGCATTTTTATTAATACCATGGCGAGAAACATGTTTGTAATAGACCTTTTTGACGTTAATATTGAACAAAGAAATCACTTTTTAAAAATATTATTATACATAGTACATTCTCAGCCAGAAATGTCTTGTGTTTTAACATGTTTTTAAAATTAAAATTTTCATTTGACAGCTCTTTCGTGGCCAATTTSAATAGACGAAGAAATGCTTATAGATTTTAATATTAAAAACTTAACAGATATTTTTGCTGGACAATAGTACTTAAAAAAAAAGATTTAGGAGTATTTAAGCGTTTCTAAAAGTCCCAAAATCCTTTGCGCGCCTTGCAATTAGATATAATTKAAAAATGAGTAAAAAAAAGTTTAGTATATTTAGAATTCCTGTTTTTTAAAGGTTTTTACACTTCTTTCGTAAACGACTCAAAAAGTAAGCCAAATGATGTTGCCTTTTTTGCAACTAGAGATATCGTTTTTTATTAAAATCATACTTGTTGATAACAAATGCGCGCGCCGYATAGAATCTCGTGTTTTGTTTCAGACTTACCACCGTACACGGAATATTAACCTATCTAATCCTCCAACTTATCAGTGAAGTCAATMATGTTAACTGAATTAAATTGAATTATCTTTAATATCCATTCAAAGTACATGAGCCCGAAACGTTTTCGTTTTGCTTGCGTCATTTWACGTCATKTCAACATTACGTGCTTTCTAAAYYGGTACCTTTAAGCGTCAAAAAATGATTACTTGCGAATGATTTTCGGTAGAAAAATAGTTTAGTTGTAAAGTAGACACGAAAACGCTCAAATAAATAAGCGTTTATAAAGTTTGGTCGTTTAGAATGGCAGACGGGACATATACTATAAAAAGCTGGTTGTAGTCTCATCGTTTTTGAAACGTCTCCAAAAATCGCTGCAAAAAWGCTCGTGGAAAATATTAATAATTAAATGTCTTTGTCTTGTTTTCTTTTTGCCAGTAGACAGAAAMTTRCTTTGAATTTGTTTATGMWAAACCAYGCTGTTATTRAGAAAASCTGCATGACATTGTTTTTAAGTTTTCAGGGACTCACATAGATTGAATTTAAGAAATATCGTTCAAATAATTTATCATTTGAGATTGAATGCTGATGTCTGTCATATAATATGACACAATCATTTGAATTTCGTTGAATTTCATAAGTTACAATACATTTTTCAATAATTGAAATTGCTCAGATAACTAAAATTGATGGTTGTTTCCTAGAATTTAGCAATTTGTCATGGCTACTATCATCCAATTCAAATGCCAATTTATTATTACTTAAATATGTCCAGAAGGATTTTTATCTTGTTTATAATTTCAACTTGTGTATTATTTTATTCATAATTACTGGCGATCATTTTAARCTATAATCTAAATTAGAAAGCTCCAAAACATTAATTTTTAATACTCTTCTCATTTACTTTACAGATCTAAGAGGATTTGTCTTATTCAGGAATGTGTCCAAGCGCCACTCAATAATAAGCAATATTCTCACAAAGGCTGGCACCAAATTAACAGACGAAGTACGCTCAAAATTCACCAAGACAGCTATTATTACAGTGTAAATCTCAAAAAAATTGTTTACGTCAAGCTCGAAGGAGGAAATGAAGTGTTTCTTGTCAAGGAARATGGTTATTACATTAATTTTTTCGTCAAGTCTTATGCTTCAATGTTTTGTTTCTTGTGCAAATATCAATGAAATACCTATAGGTAAGTGCGGTCGAATATAACGTTCTATTTGTATTACTAGTCTACCGCGGAATTTGCTTAAAGATATATAAAATAGCACACCCCTTGRAGTAAATGATAGCTTGGGTGTTCTACGCCCATTTCTTACCCAGAATCMAACAGGTAGCGAGTTCATTGTTAAGTAATCCAACCTTTGTCCATTATTATCTCGCACTGATCTGCGCGCCAAAGACGCTTTCAAACGCTGTATCTYTCATGTGGCGAAGTCTATGCAAATGAGATGACAGCACGCGGAAACAGACATTAAACTACAGGGAATAATCCAGTTTCGAATAGTCTCCTTCACGGTTCCCTGCGCCATCTTGAAAGGTAGCCGTGCATTTACATCGAACCGAGACAACCGTTGAGCGTGCAATGATAGAAACCTTCTTTCACACCTACAAACAATTATTCACAGGTATCTATCATTGCACCCTCAACGGTTGTCTCGCTTCGATGTAAAGGCACGGCTACCTTTCAACATGGCGCAGGTAACCGTGAAGGAGACTATTATCCAATGCTCTGTGTTAGCCTCATTTGTGCGCAAAATATTCCTAATAATTGTGAGAAATCAATTCTATTGCCCAAAAGAATATGTTACTTGATTTTGAGGCTAACACAGAGCAAACCAGAACTCGAAATTGGAGTACAGTCAATATGAGGCGACGCCATTTCGTTTAACAAAGCATGAGAGTGGTGAACCTCAAACGTTTTCATGTCCGTTTTCTTTGTGAACTTTAGAAGAAGTTGTGCCGTTTCTACAAAGAAAACATAAAAACKATTTTTAGGGAGATTTTTTAGGGTTATAAATAGTGTCCGGACTGCAACTACCATCATGCTTTGCTGAATATAATGGCGTCGCTGGCTATTTTCAACGATGACATTTTCTGGAGCAAAAAATAGGAATTGTGCTCGCGCTTTTAAATTATTTTTAATTGTCTTCTAGATATGAATCGCTAGATATGTATGTTTCTAAATTGATGGCATCTCTGCCTGAAGGAGTTTTAATGTGATGCAACGAGCTTTCAACTACATATTACCAAGTGATTGGTTCAATTAACTCTGAAATTGAAAMTAAGTGCTTTTTAGAATATACATTATTAAATACAAAAAGGATTACTCTAGACTAGTTGAGGTAATACTCCAAACGATTGAACACAGGTGGTTCAYATAGAATTACAAATGTCAGAAACATTTGAAAACATTTTATTCATTTCGTAATACTCCAATTTCAAGTTCTGGTTTGCTCTGTGTTAGCCTYAAAACCARGYAACATATTCTTTTGTTTCATTGATAGCTCGAGAAAAMGCATGGAATTTGTGAAGRAAGACAATAAATTTGATTTRAAATCTCACACTTTWACSCTCACAACTAAGGAATATTTTGCACACAAATGAGGCTAACACAGAGCATTGGARAATTCGAAACTGGATTATTCATTTATTCTTTCATTCAGTTGTTCATTCGTTCCTTTTTCTATATATTGACAGATTGATTGAGTGAATAGTTGATT